GAACACTTCATTTTTCTCAAATTAAATATTTTCAGTTTTTGTCCAAAAGATGTCTTTATCAGTTCATTTTTATAATTCGAAAAATAAAGAAATATTATTTTTGTTAAAGCTCATTTCTCATTTTCTATTCATTAATTTTATACAATTTCTTTTATTTTAATCAAGATTAAAATAATAGAAAAAAGAATAGAAAAGAAAATAAAGAAAAAGAAAAGCATATTAAAAAAATACTTCTACAGAATTGGGAAAATTAATCCATGAAGGATATCTTTTGCGCATTGGTCCAAAAATGTTATTAATATATAATTAACTACATATTAAAAAGACGTTACTCAATATTCTTTTGGTCCCGACATATTCAAAAATATATAAACTTTTTAAAACAAAAACGAATATACTTAATTGGACAAATGAAGTATATGTTAAATTTTTTATTTCAAAGACAAACATTTTTTATTTTTCAATTTTTTTTAAAATGTAGGTTTGAAAAAACAAAATTTGATTATTTCACACACAAATATTTTTCTTCTCTTTATGAAAAAACAGAAAACAAAAAAGGAAAACAAAAAAGGAGAGAGGGGCATTGGGGTCTATTTCCAAAAGGGAGAAATACGAAAATAGCACTCTAATAGCCTTATAATACTCAAAATAGCAGTGCTATTAGTTTTTGGGATGAATTTCCGATTTTGTCCTTAAATAAACACCCAAAATTGAATAATACTAAATTAGGTTAAGAAAAAGTAATTGGCGGCCAAGCTTCACGCAATATCACCGAAGGAGAATAAAACCCCCGTCCGTAATTTCGTAATTTATAGTTGACTTAACGTACCTACCCTATATGGTAGGAACTGTGTTAGACACCCATCTGATCAGTAAACGTGAAGCCCTGTCATCGATTACCTACAGTATGAGAACGGCTTAGTTTCATTTGAAACTTGGGATTTCACACTGATAATATCTATCAATATACTGATAATATCAATATATGTTGTTACAGGTGCGTATAATGTGTTATGTTTATGAATATTTTAAAAAGATAATATCAATGCAGCCATTACCCTGTCATTTTAGAGTAAACAACCCTATGAAATGGGTTTGTTTACTCTAAAGGGCAACAAATTCTGTAACTACTTTTTTTGGTGACCAAGCTTCAAGCTTCACACGGCCGAACACATCAGCTTCGGGAAGGAGACCACGGTTTCAATGGCAAGCGATGATCTGCTGGACGAGATTCCTCTAAACAAAAGATTGGAGAAGATACAGGTATGCTTCGTTTTGGCAGTGAATTGTTAACTTTGGCAGTGTATTGTTAACTTTGGCATTAGATTTGGCAGTGAATTGTTAACTTGGGCATTAGATTTGGCTTGTTTTTTGTTTCACAATATTCATGGCGCACCGTTTGCAGTGGGGTTTTTTCCATTCGGTTGGCAGTGGGGTTTTTTGTTTCACAATATTCCTTAGGTTGGCACTGGGGGTTTTTTCCTTTGGTTGGCAGTGAGGTTTTTTCTCTTAGTTTGGCAGTGTGTTTTATTTTCTCTTTTTTTGGTTTTTTGAAACCGTTTAGGGTTTTTTACTGAATGTTGGCAGTGAGTTTAAATTCTTGTTGGCGGTGTGTTTTTTGTGAATTGATGGCAGTTGGTTCAAATAAGAATATGTAATTCATTAAACCAGTAAATTTTTTGCCAGTGTGTTTTTTGGGTTTTTTGTTCTCCACTGAAACGTAATTGGTTTTATTTTTGGGTTTTTGTTTTTTGGGCTGTGTGGTTTTTTGAGTTTTTGGGTTTTTTTACTAAGGCTGTGAGTTTTTTTGTAAATGTTGGCAGTCAGTTTAAATTGCTGATGACAATGTGTTTTTGGGGAATTGATGGCAGTGGGTTTAGAGAAGAATAGGTACTTGATTAAAGCAGTGAATTACTGCATTGTTTGGCAATGGGTTTAAATTGTTGTTTTGAATTGATTTTGAAAGTGTTGTTACGTTTGGTTGTGGATTTGAATTGTGAACTATTTGTTAAGCTTACCTTGCTGGTCTATTGTTCTTGTAGGAAGTTGAAGTGGCCTTTAAAGGTGTTCTGCAAGATGAGAGGATTAACACGTATTGTAACATGAATGAGGTTGCAAAACAAATAAAGGAAATTCTAACTACTGAAGAACTAATTAGATTCAGAGAATCTCCGTTTGGCGTTTTATTAGATGTCGCAGAGTTTCCATGGATTGGTGTTTGTTTGTTTAATTTTTTTGGTGCTAAAAAGGACAGTTCTTTTTGTTTTAGTAATAATTTATGGGCATTTAATTTATTAGTGATTTGAGAAGTGGATTGGTGGAGAGTTTTTTTTATAATTGCTTATCATTGATTTGGTTTTTTTTGGTCTTGCATGATTTTGTACGAAGTTAGAAGATGCCTTCAAGTCATATATTGAATTGGATTTATGTGGTACCGAAAAGATATGGGTAATGGAAAGTATTATGTTGTCACTTTAAAGAATTTGTATGGATCATACATTGCAATATTTTGTAGCACACAGTCCAAAATATTGGACATAATACACTGCCAAAAATTATACGCAGATCACGACCATTCCACACTTTCAAAAATGTTTGCGCTTACACTGCATACTTTGTTTGATAAAGTTATATAAAGACTAGTTATTTTGGTGATTCTTTTATATCCACTATTTATGGAACTCACTGAATAATATATGATAGTGGACTTTTTATATATAAATCACATTTGACAAAAAGACAGTAGCGAAACTTGCTCATAGGACACTGCAAAAGAGTATTGATAGAAGTTGGCAAATCCCAATTCAGTTTAGGATGTGAAATTTAATTCCATAAGTTAATTATACACTGCAATACACACACACACACACACACACACACACACTCTTCACTGCCACATTATATATAAGTATCAAATTCTATGCTCTTCACTGCCACAATATATTTGAGATTGAATTTGGTGCCCTACCACATACAACACTGCCAAAAAAAGAAAGAGCCCAATACATTTTAGGGCGTGACATTTAATTATTTATGGTAATTATACACTGCAATATATACTCTCTTCACTGCCACAATATGTTCGAGAACCAAATTCACTGTCAGAAAGTTTTGGACACAAAACATGATCAATCCTTACTGCCAAAAATTTAAGTGTGCGTATTGAGTAACACATATCATATCAATCTCTTTCATAAGCAAACCCCATTGTCATAGAATCAAGCATAAACTGTTTGCACAATATGAAAGTCAAAGCTTAATTTATAACATTGGTAGTTTTATATGTGAGTCACATTTTACTGCCACATGATTTATGGAACTTATTGTGATACTTAAAAATTTTGTTTATGCTATAAATTTTAGATTCTTGTAGACATTATACACTGGTACATATAGAGTCTTCACTGCCACACTATCATAGAAGTCCTATTTCAGTGCCACATTTCACAAGGAATGTTACAAAAATTAAAAGAATGCAACTTATACCATATTCACTTTTTGCAATTCAATGGTGGAAGTGGACAAAGTATTATATATTAATTCAAAATTCAAATTATATTATAAGGAGCTCAATTATTAAAAGAATGAAAAAACCAAATAATATGTGTCCCATCAACATCAAAAATGGATGAAGGAAACAATTGAGAATTGTATATTATATGAAATACGAAACAATACAGTGTCAGTTTGGTATTGGGTTTTTGCATGTTTTTACGTTATGCCCCAAATTCAAACAACGTGTTCATCTTTGCTTTCTACGCCTCTGGCATATTTGAAATTCACCGACTGATGGAAGTCTCCTCTTCTTTGGTATACCCGGGGAATGCTTATCACAAGATGGAGGCTTGCAAATCACTGATGCAATATTCGGCGGTACACTCCAAGAAGACTTATCTCCTGTTGGGTGCACAATTCCATTGTAAGTAGCAACTAATGATTTTCGTTTGTAATATGGTGAGATGAAATTATAACATGACAAACCAGGGCGAGAAGCAATAGCTGCAACGGCATGAATGCATACGAAATGGTCCAACTGAAACTCACCACAAGTGCACGTCCTCTCTCTATGATTAACAATAAATGTACGAGTCCACCTATCAACGATCTCAAACTCATATGAGCATGATGGCTTAACCGGCTTGTATGAGAGGGGGGGGGGGGGAATTAATTTTGTATAAAAGAGAAAACATTCAATTAAATTAAGTAAATGAATGAACTCAAACAATAGACGAAAATGCTCGATTTAATGGAGGTGGTGAATAAAAAACCACGTCGTATATATACATGATATGCATTCAGTCAAACACAGGAGGAAGTTTAAATCTTGGCTCCTAACACTTATACTTTGCACTAACATACTAACCATTTAAAAGGGACAACTACTAAGCATTTAAAAAATGATCTGGCTACACCTATACTTCACACTGCGAATTTTAGTTTATTAAAGATATACATCGCACAATCTTTTAACATCACTTCATTAATCTTCAATGCAACAGCTTTGTTTTTAATAAAATTATGCTAACTACTTAGACATAATTAAGATATTCAATATGAAGAAAATAGGAAATAAATAAAATTAAAAATGCTAGACAAAATTTAAACATTTAATCTTCACACTGCCCACACCATAACACCTAATCTTCACATTGCCAATTTCGCAATGCCTTTCAAAACACCTAAATTTTTAAAAGGGACAAATACTTCGTATTTCAAAAACGATTTCACAACACCTAATCTTCACACTGCCAACTACAATTCATTAAACAGATAAATCGCCCCCCTCCCGCCCCTCTCCCTTGCCCCCCCTCCCGCCCCCTCCCTAACCGTCGTTTTTACAAACGGAGCACCGTAGGTATTCCAAACGAACTGGTGTAAGCAACTGGTATATAAGTAACTAGTGTTATTTTAGACCCTCCCTTTTGAACATGTGATCTTCAATTTAAATTAAAAAGTTTATAAGAATTCGATAAACTCTAAACCAATAGTGAAAATTAGTAGAACATCTCATCTCAAAAAGACAAATCAATATAAAATGCTTCCCATGAATGAAGCTCAGATCAAAATCGTCGCTCCCGCGGCGGGAAACTGATTGTTCCCCCTAATTCTCCCACCAAGATCAAACCCCTATCGCGTATAAACCCTAGAAATCTCCTCATTTTTTCGAAATCCCGATTTTCACAGAGACAGTGGGAAGCACATTCGATTCTCTTGCCTTTCTTGATTTAATATTAATACTGGGTATTTTCCCCTTTCCAAATTCAGATGGCATGCCCGTCTCGCAGTATACCCCTGACTGCGCACAGAGACGAAGAGGCGAACCCCGTATCGCCTTCTCCCGGGCGGCAGCAGCTGGTGCGGGAGGCGGAGGAGGACTCGGTGGACGTGGATTTAGGGACTCCTCTGAAGTACGTCTCACTGTGCGACGTCTATTCCGCCACCTCCCCCTGCGTCAGGGCAAGCGGATCCAAGAAAGTCAAGGCTTCACGCAAAATCACCACTTTCGACATCCCAGACTGTGCAGCTAAGCAACTCATTACGCCTGCACCACCCAAGTGTCTTACAATGTCGAAGCCTCCTGTCATGCACGTCTACACGCGCCGCCGCCCCAAGAGGAAGCACCCGGAGCTCTCCTTTTTCAGTTCTCTTAGTTCGCACCAGCCTTCAATTGATTCGAAATCTGACAATGTGGAGGTAAAAACTGAAGCAGAAGAGATAGGGGGTGAAATTTTAGTGAATGAAGAGAAGAGTGCCCCAAAGAGACGGAGGAAATCGGGAAGCAGCTGGGAGCTTTTGAATTTGGGGGTGGATGTCAATTTAATTAGCAGTGACACGAATGGGTTAAGGGAAACCAGGAGTAAAACAACCACCTTCAACAATAGTGCTGTCTCTGGTGATAACAGTAAGATTAAGTGTAGAAGTAATTCCAGTCATAAGGCAAGTATTGCTAGTAAACAAAAAAAGGATGCCGGTTCAGGGATCAACTGTCAATCCGAAATTCGTTCTAAAAGATGGGTTTGGTATGTGCCTCCTTCCTTATATCAGTTATATGTATCATTTCATATTTTTAGATGTACAACTTTTGAAGTTTTTGTGGATTCTAGGCTAAGACTTGAAGGAGTTGATCCAAAGAAATTTATAGGACTACAATGCAAGGTATGAGGTCCACTAAATCTTGGCTAGCTTGAAGGTTGGAAACGAATGTATGGCGGACTCTTGAGAGTTATTGGATTGTGAATTTGAACAGGTATACTGGCCCTTGGATGCTGATTGGTACAAGGGTTGCGTTCATGGATACAATTTTGATACTGGGCGACATCATGTAATTGCTATTATGAATTGCTGGATTTGCTGCTCATCTCTATACACTTATCATACTTAAATCTGTCCAAAGCGTTCATATGTGCTGGTGTAGACCATGAATTAGTAATTACTTGAGCCTAATGCAGGTAAAGTATTCAGATGGCGATGAAGAACATTTGATTTTGACAAATGAAAGGGTCAAATTTTTTGTTTCAGCAGAGGACATTCAACATTTAAAGTTGAGTTGTACTGATGGAAGCACGGAAACAGATGCAATTGATGTTAATGAGATGATTGTATTAGCTGCTAGTTTAGATGCTTGTGAGCAGCTTGAACCTGGGGATATCATATGGGCTAAAATTACTGGTAATAACTCTATATGTATGTAATTTTATCTATGGATGGGCACATTTTGAATTCCCTAAAATTAGTAAATACTACGTATCTTTAAAATTTGAATTTGACATGTCATTGCATATGTATGTGCATAAGGTTCGACTTCAAGTTGCCTGAGTAATGTGTAGTGTGTACATTTGCCTAGCAGATATGGAAAAACAATGATAAATCCAGGTAAATACAAGATTAAGTGTAAACTCTGTGTTGTAGGAGTAGGAACTTTAATGTCATTTTGTCATCAATGAGGCTACGGAATTCCCACTTTTCGTTTCATATTGGCGTAATGAAAGGAAAAGATTTATCAATAAACTATCATTATCAATTGAGTCTCAAAAAGTTGGGGTCAGTGGCATTAAATTTATAGTGTCAATTAATTGTATAAAATAATGAAACACTATTAATTCATGCTAAAAGCATAGTGGCGACGTTTTACGTGAGATGCATTTCCTGTTGCAGCCGCCTATTCATAAGAATTGATAATGAGGTGAAACTTCTAAAATTGTCATCATCATAGATTATATCAACATTTATAGAAAATATCATGGGATGACAACATCCTGCTTTTTTTCTAATGTCATGTTCCTTTACAATAAAACAAATAAACCAATAACCTAATTATGGTGTGTCAATACATTTCATAGGCTTGAAATAAGCTAATCCAAATGTTGAAGGTTTAGATATGGGAGAGCCTGTATTACTAATATATTTAGCTGCTTTTATTTCTGTCAAACTTGATGGACGAAACATTCTCAAGCCAATATGGACATCAAGTCTTACAGTATTATAGTGAGCTTTTTTTGTATGGGTGAGAATTTTTTGTTGCTTTCTTTTTCAAGAGGCAATGAGAAGCTTTTTGGACTTCCCTTATATTGATTATTGCTAATCTGGGGACACTAGGTTGTGGTGTAAGTTTTTTTGATAGTACAGTTGATGTAAAGATAGTGAGTATTGAGATAATGTCATTGTCCATTAAACGGTGTGTCTCTATATAAGGTAGTGCTGAATGAATTGTCCAAACGAAGTACTGTGTTTCAGAGAGCTGAATATATCTCAGTGACCTAGATGAAGCACTCATCTTCAGAGATTGAATGCATTTAAGTGATCCAAATGGAGTACTGGCTTTCAGAGAGTATATAAAAGGATGGATAAACTGTTTACAAAGTAGAAACCCTGTTTTGCAATGTAGTTCTTTGATCCTGTTTCATATTTCTCGAGCTGAAACAATATGCTTAAAACATGTAGGTTGAATTTTATTGAGGTGTTATGTTTATGACCTGTTGATGCAGGTCATGCTATGTGGCCAGCCATTGTTTTGGATGAATCTCAAACTGGTGGCCGCAAAGGCCTGAAAAAAATTTCTGGAGAAAACTCAGTTCTAGTTCAGTTTTTTGGCTCTCATGACTTCTCAAGGCATGCTATAATTAACTTGCTTATCAGTCATGATGCAAAATTGATATTTGCTTGCAGTAACGTAAACTTATTGTAACTGGTTGTCAGGATCAAAGTGAAGCAAGTCATCTCTTTTCTTAAAGGACTTCTTTCTTCCTTTCATTTGAAATGCAGAAAGCAAAGCTTTCTTCGAGGTTTGGAGGAAGCAAAAATGTATGCTTGATTAGTTTCTATTTAATTTATCATAATTGTTGTGGTTAATTCTGTGGACCCATTTCTTTAAATTTTTTTGTTTGAATACTGACTATTGCATGAAATAGATATCTAACATATATTTTTTAAAACAACCCACTCATGTGCTGAAGTTAATGTTATATTCAAGTAGTTAGTTGTCACTGGTCCCATTCACTTGTCTGTCCTGTTATAATACCTGTGTATGCTTGAGACGTTCTTAGTATAATACTACGTACCTTCTTAGTAATATATCTTTGGCCTACTATGAATATTATCCAAGGATGTACACATTCATTATGTGCTTTAGTTACTTTATATCTATATTTTCATGTGACTCAATCTTCATACTATTGTTTACATAGATTTTTACAACCATTGTTATGCATTTCCGTCTTTCCTCTTATAAGAAGAAGCAGCATATTACTAATTAATGTTTCTGAATTTTCTGCCAATAATTATGAAGTTCAATCGATATCGCTTGCATATCATGAATCTGTTACAAGCAAACTGTAAAAGTTTTGATATATAAAGCCCTATATAGAGAATATGTGCATTGACCTAGCAACGCATGGAATGATAGTTCCTTGGTTCCCTTTGGGGTTGATGTCAAACTGCACTTAGATAGTGGATTAATGTCGAATGTTTTTGGTGGATGAAACAAGAAAATTTATCACAGAGATGTGAAGGTGAGGTCTGAAGGTCTTACAAAGATTAGAAGAGCATTTTGAAAAATCAAATAAAGCATGCCTATCTATACTAGGATTTGTGAAGGGCATCCTTAAAAAATTAGCTGCTTTAGCCACTAGGATTCCACGAACTCTAGCATACTACTTAAAGTTGTCTTGAAGTATCCCGTCATTCAAAACACAAGGTATCAATAAATAACTGAAAGAAGAATTGATATTGACTATTGAGCAGCACACTTTGGCACATCTAACCCTTCAATATTTCTTCTTTTATCAACAAAGTTAATACTCCGTATCATATTTAGACTTCTCCAAAATTTAGAAAGATAGATTTTTCCTAAAATAATATAAGGCCATCCTTGGCTTATCTGCAACATCACAATGTGAAAATGGTTCATCACAACTCACATTATGCACTGAGCACATATTGCCTATAGCAGTATAAGACAAACCTCCTTGCACTAATCTGTTGGCACCTCCTTGGTGCAATTCTGATGAAGTTCTTATTTTAAATGATACAAAAACATTAAATTGTTTGGCTTTTTGACCAGGAGACTTACAAAACATTTTCTTCTTTGTGGAATTACTGTTCTAGAGCTCTATTATGACTAGGAATAAAAAGAATTTCATCTCTTTTTTTTCAAGCCACTCATCATATTTTGACTATGGAAATTATTGATGAGCTATGACTAGTTTCTTGACACATGTTTTGAGTTGATGTTCTCTGGCACCAAACTTGCGTGCATTTCTTTCTTAAGCAATAAAGTCGATAATGGTTTTCATTGCAAAATCAGGTATCTGAGTGAGCAGAAACTCCCCAAAAGAATGTTGTGTTTGCAGAATGGTGTTGAAGTTGATGATTATGATGGTGAAAATGAAGCGGATGACTGCCATGCTAATCCAGATGGAGATTGCATGGAGAATGGTCTTCCAAGGATGCTTGAAGCCCATAGATGTTTACCGTTTCAAGTGGGGGATTTGCTAATAATTAGCCTCGGTGAGTCACTTGCAATTTTCATATTCAAATTACATCACAAATGCTTAATAGTGCATGCTATAAGATTTTCTTAGTTTTGATTTAGTTTTGATTTACATAGCCCTGACAGTCTAAGATCAGCTTTTTTCTCTCTTCAGCTCCCGTGTTTCACATTATTGCTTCTCTTTTCTTTGACTTCAATTATGAAATGAAGAATGCTGAGCGCTTGTAGACTCTATAACTAACAATTTGTCTTTTGATTTTTTTTACATAAATGTGTTCTTTACATTATCTTAACTCTTTGGTTTTGTTGGATGTGGAAATGTGTAACTGTATCAATTTCATATTCCCAAAGTTTTTCCATAGTGAAAACAGAGTAAGGTTGTTTGTTGTGAATCTGATAATTCTCTCTATGCATTAGCATAATATGTATTCTGTTTAATCTGGATATATCCTTTTCAATCTTTCATGCTTTGAATAAAAATTATCTGTAATGTCTGTATCTCTCTATTACAATGTCTAATTTGCTGTGCAGGAAAAATTGTGAATGACTCTGAGAATTTTCAAGATGGAAACTGCATTTGGCCTGAAGGATATACTGTGGAGAGAAGATCTCTATCAATAATGGGTATGTTGCTCATGGTGGACTTTCTGTTGAATTCCTTAAAGCTGGTTTTGATTCATTTTGTTCATGACACTGCCCTTAGACAATTTACAGATCAACTTTGAAACATATTCATTTCCTTGTAATCCTCTGAATACAGACCCTAATAAATGTGCTTCATATAAGATGGAAGTCCTGAGAGATCCTGACATGAGAACACAGCCTCTGTTCCAAATTACATCAGACAATGGAGAGCAGGTAAATATGATAAGCTGGTGCCCAGAATGATTTTGTGCTGTCTCATATGTGGATTGTTATGAAAAAAAATTTAGTGACCATACATTGTAAATGGTTTTACATGGCCACCATGTAATTTTTTTTTGAATTCTCACTGGTCTTTTTTTATCTGGATCTGTTTATTCTAGAACCTACTGTTATAAGCTTTCCAAGATTGATGCAGTTGTATATTTGATTTTTCAGTTTAAGGGATCCACACCATCTGCCTGCTGGAATAAAATCACAAAAAGGATAAGGAAGCTGCAGGTTGATGTCCCTGAAATTATATCTTGTGGTGGGAGCAAAGGACTTTTGAATTCTGGTTCAGATATGTTTGGGTTTTCTCACCCTGAGGTTTTGAAACTTATCAAGGTACACAATAGATTCTCTTGTTTTCTTTACAGTTTTATCTTTTCCAAACACGGTTACTTCTGGGAAATTGTACCATATTAAATCTAGATATTTTTTTATAGCTTCATACTTTTTTCGGAGTTGAAGAACAGTGATTAATGGATTTGTGCATCTTCCATGCCGGGGATATTTTTGCATTACTTTCCCATCTTGTTACAAGGCTTCAACATATATTACCTTTTAATTGAACTTCATATTTGCAGTGAAGTGCAATCAACATAGTCATTTAAACACTGTTATTTCTATTAAAGAGACAAACACTTCTATTACTACTAGTGGGCCTTGCTTCATTCATAGTTATCCCGGTGTCGCCTAGGCGTCCAGGCGCAGAGAGAAGAATGCCATGGTCATTTGCCTCGCCATATCTCTTCCTGGCGTCGCCTTGGCACCGTTTAGGCGTCCAGCCCGTCGCCAAAGCACGCCTAGCGACTGAGGAGGGTGGCTGATGCGAGATTCAAAACCATAATCTATGGCCGCCCGATTTCAGATCTGAAAATCCCAGTGCATCGCCACCATTGAAACACAGATCCGTCTCCGCCGTGCTAGAGGGAAGTATATCTTCCACCGTTGGTGTTGTTGTTGATGCTGCAGGCATTTGTTGCTGCCGGATGCAGTGTTCTGCTACCTAGCAGTAACCTTAGTTTTGTGCAGCCAACCTTTTTTGTTTTTATTATACTCTGTATTACGAGTATTTTCGTTTTTCCTCTTTTAAATTTAAAAAAAGTTGTCTTTTTTCTCTTTTATTTCTTTTTTGATTTCTTTAGTTACTTGGCTGGTTCCTCTTTATATTTGACATAGTCCTCTTTACGCTTCAGCCCAACTTCTCTCCTTGTTCTTTATTTATCAATTAAGTAGTTAATTAATTGATTAATACTTTTAACAATTATTGTTCAATTTTATTACAATCGAATTTTTTAAAAAGGGTATGGATCTAGAAGTAGAATTAATAAATTTGTGTACCTTATTTTGTTTAAAAGGAACATTAGGTATCTTAAGTATGAAGTTTGTACTCTAGGGATAACAATATCTTTTGAATTATGGTATATTTGTACCAATGGTATTATATTTATCATATATGACTATTAGCCTAACTGTCGCCTAGTCAACTAGGCGTCCCGGCGGTTTTCTGGCATCGTGCCTCGTCTTGGCGCTGTGATGACTATGGTTTCATTGTCCAGTTTGAGAATATAGATAGTTAGAAAATTAGCTGATTTGTGAATGACTATTCAGTCTGGAGTTCCAATTCATGGCCACATGGTACTTGCAGAGTCTGTTAGTTTTTGATCCAAATTTGTGCATGTGTTGCTTATAGAGTCATCTCCTTGAGTAGGTATTTTTATTTAGATACAAGATAGAAATTGAGGAATGGGGTAGTGACTGGTCTGTACAAGTCTACATGTCAGACAGGTGTATCAATCTTGTTTTGTTGATGGTTAGATGGACAAAAGAATGTTAGTGGGAAGTTGTACTATAAAACAAAAAAGTGTTTTGGATCTTTATGTCTATATTGGCTCTTTTGAGCTATTTCCTTTTCAAATTTTCTGTTGTAGCATTATGCACCATTAATAATTTAGCTATTATGTTATCGGGAAAACACAGCTCTAAAGTGTCATGCATTATTTAATACTGACTGGTTTCTGAAGCTGAGATTTATCTGAGTTAAAATGACTGCAATCTAGACAACCGACATGATCCTTTTCATGAAGACCATTAAGTGGGTTCACTTGGCTGACTGCAAAAAATTTTGCCATTCTTCTTACGGATAGTAACTTCTAAACAATTTACAGGAGCTATCAAATTCCAGAGCTGCCTCAAAATATTCAAAGTTGTCATCAAAATGCCAAGACTTGCCTGCAGGGTTTAGGCCTGTTCGTGTTAAGTGGAAAGACCTTGACAAGTGCAATGTTTGTCATATGGACGAGGTGTAAACATATTTTGTAAATAATTTTTCTTGATGTACAATTTTGATGTTTTGTCTGTTTGGTTCATTCACATCTGATTTACTCAGGTATACTATGTGTTTCCTCTTCGACTTTGATTGTCCTGTGCTAACATAGGTTCTCTTGCTGTAGGAGTATGTGAACAATCCTTTTCTGCAGTGTGATAAATGTAGAATGATGGTAAGTCGACACTCTTCTATGGTCATTTACCGTTGTGTTGTCAACCTTCATTCTTTTTAGCCAGTAAACTGGTGGTATTATTGTTGATTGCACCCAGGCTAACTAAACAATGGCTGTGAGCTCCAAATTTCAGTAGTCAGTAGTGTAATCTGTATTTGAAGTATAAAATTGTGTTAGGTGTGTCAAATATCATTTGTTGGCAGTATTTGGTAAAGCATACACACTGTTGCAGTTAAGTATTGTGCAACAATAGGAACTAAAAGAAATGGAGAATTGGAATAGTCTTGTTCATCTGTTCCTGGACATGACCTTTCAGCTATTGTAATAGTCTTGTATATCTATCCATTTATCATTCAATCGTTATTCTGCTGAAGTCTACGGTTTAGATGTCAAAAATAGGATTTTATGCCTGTTAATGCTTATTTCCACAATGCAATTTTCCAGTAGTCTAATTGTGCTTTTGCATGTAATCTTATTTTAACAGGTGCATGCCAAGTGCTATGGAGAGCTGGAACCTGTAGATGGAGTCCTTTGGTTATGCAATTTGTGTCGTCCGGGGGCTCCAGAGTTCCCTCCTCTTTGTTGTTTATGTCCTGTCATTGGTAATTGCTGGTTTTTAGATTATCTTGCTGTTTTATGTGCTGCATTCCTTGCTTTTGCATCTGAACTGGATTTGTGTAGGAGGTGCTATGAAGCCTACCACAGATGGCCGATGGGCGCACCTTGCGTGTGCCATTTGGATACCAGGTTTCCCACCGTTCTCTCTCTATGTCTGTTCATATTGTTGTATGCTATTATTTGATCATTTAATTGTTTCACTTCAGAAACTTGCTTATCTGATATTAAGAAAATGGAGCCCATTGATGGATTGAATCGGATCAACAAGGTATTTTTATACACATTATTTTTCCACCTGGAATTAAATTATACATATGAAAATACATAGAAATGTACATGGTGTTTAGATGTTCTTTTGAAGTGCATTAAACCATCCATGATTCTTAAATATTTGTTTCTTATTAAATATACTTTCTTGGGTCCATGGAATATACTTATTGTACTTATTTACATTCTTTCAAGGATCGCTGGAAGCTTTTGTGTAGTATTTGCGGTGTTACTTATGGAGCTTGTATACAGGTAAACTATTGTTTGTATATCCATTTTTAACTTTATACCATTCATGATCTTGGTTAACATCTTGGCTTGGCTGGGATTATCTTGAGGTAATGGTAACATACATCCATATCTTCTACCAATGTCTGTCCTGAATTCAAAATCAAAATCATACAAAATTATGGATATCATTCAAATTCCCAAGTCCCAACTATGAACACCATCAACGAAACACCTTTCATAAAGTCAACATAATCCCTCCCTATCCTAACTATCTAAGTTTTGGGTTATGTGGAGCCATGGGTTTCAAAGGTGAAAGAGGCATACACTTAACTTACTTTTATACTTCCAATAAAAATGATTAACTTAAATTGTGGAACATCTTTAAGATTGATCTGCAAGAAGATTTTAAACCCTCCAATTCCTCAATTCAGAACTCATATGCTTGGGAAGAATTCCTTACCCCAATCCATCTCAGATCTATAGTTTGAGAAAGATCTTATAATAAACCAAGAGAGTGAGGGTGAAATTGAGAGTAGATTGGAACAAAAAGTGATTTATCAGTGAAGAGGCATAGGAGATCATCAGTAACTGTTGGAGTTCCCACATCGGAAAATAAAGAAGAATGCCACTAGCATATATAGAAAGGTGAAGCTCTACCTATCAGCTTAAGCTTTTGGTTTAGAATAGTAGATCCCGACTTTATATGCAAGTGGTTAATTTTACCCGGGACTCCACCCGTTGTTCTCAGCCAATCAGAATTTTAACAGTAACCAAGAAGGTAACCATGAGAGAGAAGATGTGAGTAGTAATGGAGGGTATAATGTACTTTTCATCTCATTGTGTTTACCTTAAAAGGAAACTATACAAGTACTTTGAGATGACCCAAAAAGGAGTATTGGACAAAAACTCCAGGACTAAGTGAGTAAAAAATTGATATCATGATAATTTATACCATGACGATTCTAACAAGATTTGATGAGAGAGAGTGAATATTTTAAATATCTTATTGTTGCCTTTATTATGGAACAATATTATAAATGACACCATTTCTTTTCTAGGCTCCTATTAAGTAAAGCATTTGATAAAGGTACAATTTATGCAAGAACAAAAGATATTAATGCTCCCTTCATCCCAAAATAAGGTTCCAATTTGACTTTTCACGATGATACAACACTTTGACCATTAATATATATATACTTGTACATAAATAAAAAGGAAAAATTACACCAATATTCCAAGAAAAGCATAATTTTACGGCATTACTCCGAAATTTAATAAATGACACTATTACTCCCAAAATTGTTGTATAAGAAATCACCCTAAATAGGAGCAAAACATAGAGAAAATACCAAAATAGGCGTTCCATGTTTTTATCCCCTAAATAGGAGTTCGCACTGTGGTAGTGTACATGAACATTTCACAATGCTTTTTGGTAATGTATATGATCATGATTGACACTGTAAATGCATTTTAACTCCTATTGCGGGAATAAAAATATAGAACTCCTATTTTGGTATATTTTCAATGTTTTACTCCTACTTTAGTCTTCTTCCCTTGTTCTATTTTTGTGTAAATACTCCGCCTGCCACCTCATTTGCTCAATCGCCCTTGTGTAATTTCTACATGGAATTAAGATGTATGACTTGGCAAGTGCAGCTTATCATAGGACATATGGACACTGATTACTGCCATTAATACAAACAAAATTTTCAATTTCAGATCCTTAAACATAGATGGAGTAATAGTGTAATACTCTCCGATAGGATTACATTAAGCGTTGTTTTGGTAGTTCTATATTATATTAGACTATTTTACTTAACTGAGTGTTGTTGCTTCAAGGCATTGGTTTGGTTTTTTTTGGCAATACTGATCAATATAGCCCTTTGGATATATTCATTATATTACATGATCAGAAGTAATCATCTTCTGTTTAACTAATTTGTTTCTAGAGGACAATTTGCAGTGCTCAAATAATAACTGTCGTGTAGCATATCACCCCCTCTGCGCACGTGCTGCTGGATTTTGTGTTGAGGTGAACTTTTCCCTTTTTGTTTTATGAATTTTTCAAAATCTTTACACCCCTATTATACTAACAATCTTTTTAAATTAGAAATAAGCAGTTCTTGTATCTGGTTCTGTTTTTTATTATCATAGACTCTATAATTAATTTACAGCTCGAGGATGAGGATAAGTTGCATCTGATTTCTTTTGATGAGGATGATGAAGACCAGTGCATACGCCTGATTTCTTTCTGCAAGAAGCATAGACCTCTTTCTAATGAACGACCTGCTGTGGATGAATTGGTTGCTCAAAGAGCGTGTGACTATTCAGCCTACATTCCTCCACCAAATCCTTCTGGATGTGCTCGCAGTGGTCTAATACCTTATCTTTTTTCTTTATTTTACCATTTATCTAGTTTCCCTTCTATTTTACAAGTTACTTCTCCTGACTACAAATATTTCATTGTTTATACATATTCCTTTATCATAGCAATAATCTGTTGTCTGTCTTCTATTTACAAGAGTACGAGTTACTTCTCATGCGTAGTAGTGGATCCTCAAATTCCACATTCTCAATAGTTTTGGGGAATATCTCTTAATGGTCATTTTTTTCTCCTTCTAATTTTAGGGAACTATACCTCATCACTCCACCTTTTGCTTTTGATCAGAAGGTTTACCTGTTAATGGGTTTTCCCTTTCATCTTGTTCCTTCAGGAACATGTAGTGTAAGAAATAAAGAAGTTAAGATTCTCAGTTTGAGATCACACGAGTGGCATAATGCTGCCCCCATCAGCAAGGTTGAATTATGTAATGTTAAAGAAAAAAAGAATTAATGGCGGATGAGGGGCAATCCTATTCCTAAATTTCATTAATATGAACTTACCAAGTTGTTAAAAGATAAAGGTCATTATAGGGATATCTAAATAGTCTATTCTTGCTTCTTCAAGTGACATGTGTTGATTATCATACTTCGACTCTTCATCATTCCCAATAACTATAAGTAAGAGATTGTTACATCAAATAAAGGTCATATAGGCTAGAATATAGATATGGGCCTTTTCCTTTGTTTGCTTTCATGTCATTAGACTGTTTCTTGCTTTCTGACATGTCTATACACTTTTTGGCCTCTTATGTGAGCTTCATATGATTGATTGCAAGACAACTTTGATGTTGCTTATGTGCTCATTCTTATATGAACAGAGCCCTACAATTATTTTGGAAGAAGAGGACGGAAAGAGCCGGAAGCCCTTGCTGCCGCATCCCTGAAACGTTTATATGTACAAAACAGGCCATACTTGGTTGGTGGCCATAGCCAACATGATTCCTTATGTAGCACAGCCTCTTCCAACACACCCGCCTCTTCCAATTATTCAGTCGACCTTCAAAAGTTAAAGAATTCCCACCTTCATGTATCAAAATGTATCATATCAATGACTGAGAAATATGAGCATATGAGGGCAACTGTTAGAAAAAGATTGGCATTTGGTATGTTGAAGGTTTCACTACACTCTCAGTGCTATATATTAAGCACTAGTTGTTTTATCTGATATATGCTCAGACTTGTACAATGCTGTTTTTTGGGGTTAAATTACACTTCTATTGATTTTCTAGGGTCAAGAATAAGTATTTTCCGTTCTGTGTCCACTCCTCATCAAATGCTTCATTTTTGTTGTTTTGCGAAGCACATTTGCCGTGCTTTACTCTTTTTTTGACTCATGATCTATATCTATAATCTGTTCTGCAGTTTTTTATTATTTGTGCCTTTTAACCTGTCAATGAAATACTATGAATTTAGTCATTTTCATCAACTATTTCCTGATATCTTATCTATTTTGACTTCAGGAAAATCTGGTATACATGGATTTGGCATCTTCACAAAGTATCCTCATAAAGCGGGTGATATGGTATATAAATTGTTCTTGCAATTCAATATTCACACTCCTTTTATATTTCTGATAAATCTAAGTTTGTGCATTTCATTGCTTCATAGATCATTGAATATACTGGAGAACTTGTTAGACCCCCCATTGCTGACAGAAGGGAACATTTGATTTACAATTCTCTAGTTGTAAGTTGCGCAGCATTTACATATTTTTTCATTTTTTTTAAATGTGAAAAAATCACTATTAAATGTTATCATGTCACCATAGAGGCCGGGACACATCCTTCACATGCATCCAGATTTTTTAGTCATACTGATTTCAATGTCATCCAATATATCTGATGATACTGGGACTGGGGAAAAGATTCCTTCGCCCCTTAACTACCCAGCAAAGCTTCTACCGCACATATTCACTATCCGAATAAATAACACTTTTCAACCAACTTTTCATCCTACTCTTAATGCATGTGCCAGTTTTACATGGGAGGTTCTTTTTGCGATGGAGGGAGTTATTTACTAGATAAAGTGAATATCTGATGTCTCATGTCTACCATTTTCCTCCGTTTTAACAAGGACATGCGATAGTTCTTAGAGTCCTGATGTAAACATAGTGACATATTGCAAAGTACAAATGAAATTAAATGCAGCCTTTACAAAGCTCAACTAGCTTTTGATTTTTAAGTACTCTGCCTCTACTTTAGCTGGAGTTGAGGCTCCATATTGCTGCTTATATCTTGATCATTGTCAATGTTTGGTTTGCCAACCCATTTTGTGAGAATTCTCAATCAACGTGATTTATGTGAATGAGATACATGAACTATTTTTCAACTGAGTTTAAGTCTTAAGAGCTCAGATATGTTTTATTTATATAATATAATGAAAGTAACTCGTACATTTGTGCATAACAAACAGAGTTTTTAATAAACTAAAATGTCATGTGTCTTGATGTGCAGCATTCTGAGAATTATTCTGTCATCATTATTGAAGTTTATAATGTAGACATACATATAATGGCATGGAAGAGTGTTTCTAGGTTAAGGGTTGGTGTTTTCTTTTGTGCATATAACATGAGGATTTTTCGTATTGAAATATAGATAACTAAACTGTTTTTTCCTCCTGGCTTTCTTTAGAAGGGTTTAGAATATCATAATATCAGCCCAATTGAAATTCTATTGCTTTCCAAATATACTTGCATCTTACTAGAACTTTTTTTATTTATTTAAAATCCAAATGTTACTGGAACTTTGATCTTCCTAGATGTTTTGTAATCCAAAGGCTACTTTTGATTTTTCTTTGTTTAATATGATAATGCGTGAGTATATTATTTGTATCCCTTATTATTCTCCTTTTATGTGTTATTGCAAATTACTTTTATTTATTAATTTCAATATCAAGTGTTCATCCACGAAACCCTAATCCCTTGGCCTGGTGTGGTATCCTGACTTACCAGACACATATTTTACTTTCTCAAGTTAGACTACTCTCATCTTGACCTCCAAACTCCAATAGAGTTGGGATGATACTGAGCTGTTATTGTCTGCTGTAAGTCCTTTAATGAATATCTAGTGGTTCCTGTGGTCTAAGCTTTTGTTTCATAGTGAATGAGTAATGCTGAAATGCTCTATGCAAAGTTCGACTGAAATAACAGTGTTGTTGAAGAGAACCCTTAAGTGCTTCTTAAAAAATCAAACAAGTGACTTAGATAATCATCAACTCTATCTATGTGCAGGGTGCTGGGACCTACATGTTTCGGATTGACGATGAGCGCGTCGTAGATGCAACAAGGGCGGGTAGCATTGCACATTTGATTAATCACTCATGTGAAGTATGCACATCTTTTGCTATTTGATCCATTTATTATCTAATTTTTTTAGGTGTAGAAAATCCTGTTATGTGAGAGTTAAGATGATTGCAGAGTTCCCAAGTTGGTGTATGGAAGTGGAATAATGTTAGGAAGTATATTGGAGTTGTGGCATATATTTAGAAATATCCCAATTGTCTTTGAGTTTGGTTTCCATGAAAGCAGGTTGAAGTAGTTTGTTATAGTTTGTTGATTTAGATGATTGAATGTCTTTATTATCCTATGCAGTCCAATTATGTTTTAATGTCTTAAGTGTCTTAAAATAATTTAACGTATTAAATTCATGCAATACATAACACACTGACAAAATTTTATACTCATGCGCTTTGTGCCGCAACTGTATTATTTTTGCTAAGATAAGATGCATTATCCTGTAGTAATACATTCCTGAATGGCTTCTATCAGTATGATTCTTTATCCACTCTTGGGGTACTGCAGTGGACTATAATGTTCATTTTCACTTTATTGCAATGTTGCGGAACCAATTTGATATGAAAATTCAGAAGGTCTTGCTTTTTTGCAGTAGAATTTGGTTATTTACAGGGAAAAGAATTTACTTCCTAAGAACTCTGTGCGTTATTATTTTCATGTTTGTTTTTCCTTCCCAACAAAGAGATACAAAAAATTATTTCCCTTTGAAATTTCTACATTGCAGATCTACTTATCACTTTATTGACATTGGAACTATAGAGCCTCAGAGTTTTTTCCCTGAACTAGTTTTGGAAGAACAGTCTAGAGTGTAACAAAAACATTAGCACTTGGATAAAACGCTTTTTAAGATCTGAAATTTGAAGAGAATAGTTTTGAAATGTGTCTGAATCTTCCTTCTCCCATTGATGTAGTGTAGTATGTCTTGTTATTTGGTAATTGAGTTGTTGCCAATAACTCCAATTGGATTGATTATATTGGGCTTGACAATTGAGCCTGAATATCGTTCAAAGCATCACTTGACATTCATTTTTTATTTGCTTTCAATCTATAATTGTAGTCGAAAATAGAGACCAATGTTCCATTGATGTCAGGGCTGTTATCTGCGCACAATAGCTCTCATTTAGGGTGCTAATAGAGTATGCTGTAATAAGGTGTAATTTGTCGTGTATGCAGCCAAATTGTTATTCTAGGGTTATAAGTGCCAATGGTGATGAGCGCATAATCATATTTGCCAAAAGAGACATTATGCAGTGGGAAGAGTTGACATATGATTACAGGTTTCATTGAAACCATCCCCTCCTCTTCCTTTCATATTTTTTTAGTGTCTTGCACTAATCCTTCTAAACCATTTGCAGATTCATCTCAATTGATGAACAACTTCCTTGTTATTGTGGATTCCCAAGATGCCGAGGTGTAGTTAATGATACTGAAGCTGAAGAACGAATGACAAAACTGCTTGTCCCAAATCATGAATTGATAGATTGGACAGAAGAATAATAGAAGTCAGTCAATTGATTTTGTTTTTGCATGCTTTCATCTAATGCATCTAAATTTATTGTAACTCGTGTTCTACCATGCAAAAAAATTCCATCTATTGTATAGAATTAAATTCCCATTTTGGAAATTGATTCATTTGATTGTAATCGTAATATAATGTTCAGTTCTAACCGCGCTTAATGCACATCTTACATCTTTATAACTTGTTCTAAGGCTTGTGTAGGTACATAAAGAAATTCCTTCTCTAAAGGATGTAGTCATGCATGTACATAAGTGTTTTCTCCATCTTTTGTGTAGAATATGTGATCAAGGAGAAAGGGCTTGCAAATTACATTCCTAGTTCAATGTTTGAAGTAGACAATGCAAGACTTGATATTTTGGCAGATGAATGAGAAGTTAGGAAGGGGCACATAGTTTTAATGGTAATAGCATTGCTGGCTCTGATGGGTTTGGAGCTGGCATTCAACCATCATGCCGTTACATGTGTGAAGATTGACCTGATAGAAGCAATTGGTGATTTTTTCACCTGCTACCACTGGTGCTTTCCTGAAATGAAATTGATAAACTTGTAAAGTAGGGGTAAGGTGTGCATACAAGCACCCTCTCAAGACCCTAACCCTACGTTCATGGGGTTCTACTGGATTGTTGTTGCAAACGAGAAATATTATAGACCTATTAGTTTGTGCAGTGTATCTAACATGATCATTTATAAAATCATTACTCATTTGAGTAAATTCATGCAAAAAGGGTCTTTTGAGAAGATTTATAAATCCAAATGGCTCATCAGTATGGATTTACACTTTAGACTTGGCATAACAGATATTATTCTATTGCTTTGGAGATGGTAAGTGTCCATTGCCTACGGAGCTGAAAGAGTTGACAATGTTTTGGCTCCAGGTAAATAATGGACTAAATTACAATGACACGTTAAATTTCTCTTGCTTCTTACTTTTTGTGGATTTTTTGGTAGTATATGTAGCAATGCATCAAGGGTCTAACATAAGTAGTCTCTGTTGTTTTAAAGGGTCAGAATGATTACATTTTGACCTCCAATAGCCGGATGTTAGTCTCAATTACTAACCCTACATCCGATCGGTTACTTATTGATGCATTGCTACAACCCATTCTCATTCAAGGAGTTGGGATTATATTGGGTTTGTTGTTGCGTAGGAGATGGTTGAGCAGATCAATGCACACATTAGATGGCGCAACTTGATCCTAAACTTGGATATGGCTTTTCTTGATTGCTTTTTTAAAATTGGATATGGCTCCAAAATGGGATTAACAAACGTTAGAGGGCGGAATGTGAAACTATGGCAGCTTGGATTTTTTTGCTGATCAGCTAATGTTGGTGGCTTCAAAGGTCAACATAAAGGTTAGGCTTCTATGACCATCAAATAAACATTACAAATCAGCTTGAATTTCACAAGAAATAGAATTTAATCAATTTAACTCCAAATCAACTCAATAAGAATTGACAAACACCCACCTCCTAGTTTATCTAAATCTCTTAGATATTTCTTCTATAAAAATGAAAAAACTTTCTTAGATGTCTTGTTATTATATGAATTGGGACATTCAATCTCATGACACTGATATGACCAAAACAAACTTTGTATTCAGTGTTAATTTTTTTGGGTTGGAAAAATAGAGTTGTATGTATGAAGAAACTTAAAAGAGTTGGAAAAAACTAGAAAGAGTTGAAAGAAATTAGGAGTTGGAAAAAGCTTGAAGGCGATGGTGTTGAAATGAATAAAATATTTATTAAAATTCATGTTAATGATGTCACACTATTTTTTATTCAAATCATATGTACAATACTACCTTTGTCGTGAAATAATAGTTCTTATTTCCTTTTCAGGAGATACTAGAAATGGTTTTTTTACATTTTGGAATTTTTTTGACTCATTCTTTCCCTTCCTTTTGCATTATTTTTAATCACATTTCCACTTTTCTTAAATTTTGTGCCAAATCAAATTCTTCCTCCGGTTCATAAATAAACTTCCCACTTTCCTTACACTTAAACAATTATTGTTACTTTTCTTACACTTCTAATTTCAGTATCAATAATATAAATTTGTATTTTATTTTGCATAAAACAAATCCATATTTTTTATTAATCTTATCTCACATTGCACCTAAAATGGAAAAATAATTACTACCGCTGCTTTTAAGTATTTGTTGAATTTTGACTTTCTGCTGCCAAAAGTGATAAACTTTAGTCATTAATTGAATACGACTTATATTAGATTTTGATAAAAGAATCATTTTGTTAGATTTATCTTGTAAGATATTTTCAAAATATTGTTTTATTTAAATAATATACTATTTAATTTTTATTAAATTATAAGTCAATTTTTTGTCGTGGTTGCCCGTAAAAAGTTAAAATTAGACAAATATTCTCGGACATGGGAAGTACAAATTATGATGTGCCTCACAAAAATGATCAGGGGAAAATATTACTATTTTGATTTAAAGAATACGGAGTAATAGTTAAACCACTACACTATGAAAATGAAACAATCACCCCATTTGACTAAATAGATGGGCTTTAACACAAATTTTGATAAAATATAATTCTCCTTTGTCTAGAGTCTTTGTATATTACTCCCTCCGTCCCAAAATATTCACAACATTTGCTTTTTCAGCAGTCGCGGGAATTTTTGTTTAGTTCTAAGTTTTCAATGGTTATTTGATAAAATAAAATATTCTTGACACATCTTATTTCGAAAAACTTTTCATGTAGTTTTTTGATACTCCCTCCGTCCCAAATTATAATGCATGTTTACTATTCACAGGGTTAAACTTCATTTACTTTATTTCTCTATTTTCGTTAGCAATTTGATAAAATAAAATATTATTGTTACTACTAGTTTTGTAGATCTTTTGATGTAGTTTTTTAATATGTAATTTTTATTTTTTAATTTTATACCATTTGTCATATAAAATGGTTTGAAAATAATTTCAGTCAAACATCGTAAACCGAAACAAGCGTTATAAAATGGGACGGAGGTAGTATGTAAATTTTATTTTTTATTTCTATACCAATATGTAAGTAAAATGAATTGAAAAAGTTTGATATTTTACCTCGGGAATACAAATGTGGCAAATATTTAGGGACGGAGGTAGCATAAATTTTAATGTACGGTGTTATTGTATACTCCCTTCGTCCGGATGTGTATTCATTCAATTTGGCTTTTTCAAGTTAAGCTGGACAAACATTAATCATCAATTATTTTCAATTTTTATTGCATATAAATAAAATAAAATAATGTCTTGAAAGTTTTTAATAAGATAAATCTAATGAAACCATTTTCAAAATATATGTTACAGTTTTTTGAAAGTTTTTCCGATTTGACTTTAAAAAGTTAAATTGGATGAATACACTACGATGAAGCTAGTTACATTTACAAGATACAGAATGCTCATTTCACATATTTCTTTGTACACTTTGAGCATGCACTTCATAAAAGTAGTGTATTTGACAATATTAATTTCATTGCTAAAAATAAATATTTATTTAGTTGCTTAACAAGCAAAATACAATTATAGTTATCAAGGCGTCGCCTAGGCGTCCAAGCGCCCTTCTACTCTCGCCTTGAGAGCTCGCCTCGCCTTATTTTGCGTTCCTCGCCTAGTCGTCGCCTTGGCCTCACCTTTCCTCGCCTAAGCGTCGCCTTGGCTCGCCTAGTCTAGTACTTTTGTTTTCTTAGTCCAGTAATTTATTTTTTTAAGTGTTTTATTCACCCGTTTGTAGTGCTTTGTTTTTTATTGCTTTATAAATTAGTTTATTTACAATTTAATGTTTTTTTGTACTTAACTTCCTAATTGATACTTGGTGCGTAATTTTTAAAATTTTAAATGATTAATTTATTACAAAGTTAAGCAGGTAACGTTTTTTTCAACTTTGTTTTTTAAGAAAGTATTTAAAAGTAACTTCGGTAGTTAAACGTTGATATATTAGAAAAAACTAAACTTTACCAACTACAATATAAAATTTGATATATTTATATTAGTGTTTTAATGTGTAGCAATTCTCCTATTTCAATTCTTGCCTAGGCGGTCGCCTAGTCGACTAGGTGTCTTGGCCAGTGTTGCGCCTGGACTTGGCGTCATGATAACTATGAATAGAATCACACCACATCAACATATTCTAATAGAAAGTTAACATCATGTCTAAATGTATATAAAGTGTAGTGTGGGGAAATCGAAATTTGTTTGGTGAGAAATAGATTTCTTTTAATCTAAATTGTGACATCACATCAAATTTATTTATTATTTAATTGATGATGATGATAAAGATAACAACAACAATAACTACACTAACAAAACAACAATAACAACAACAATAATAATAATAACAACAACAACAACAATAACAACAACAACAGCACTCTGGTTCTTTTGACTACAAAATTTGTTGTCATAATCTGATGACTCCGCTAAATTAGCTTCCAAATCCGCGATTCGAGGGGAGGGGGTGGCAAGTGTAGGAACTATCAATTTCATGAGTGGAGCGCCATTTCTGAACTAATTGGAGTTGTCATATTATGACATTATGGGTTGTCAAAAGAAGGGGATTGTAATAATAATAATAATAATAGTAATAACAATATAGTAATAATAATAAATTTTAAAAAAAAAAAAATCATAGGAATATAATCCTAATATATGTAGTTTCCTTATTCTTTGTATTGCTATATTTCTTCTCTTACCTTATTTAGGATTCGACGTGTAATTCCTATATATACTCCTTGGAGCTTCATTATTCAATAAGTCCAAATATTATCAAATTGTATCATGGTATCAGAGCTAAGATTTTCAAAAACCTAGAGTTCTTTTTTTAGATCGAGCATTGCCGCCGGTCCCTCTATCTTTGCCGATGGCCGACCATCAAAGTTATGGCATCTCCGTCCGACCACCTCGCTGCTCTGCCATCTGGAGTAAAATTTCTACTTCACAATCTTCATTATCTAATTCTAGAAGAACTCCCAGATACAAACTATCCTACATGGTCCCTCAATGTCAGGACATCTCTCGCTGCTAATCTTCTTTCGAATAAATCGATGGCTATGAAGAAGCACCGTAAAAAACGATCTCCAAGGATGGCATGACAAACCATGATCCTGAGTACACAACATGGTCCGCAATTGACACCCAAATTTTTGTC